TCCCTTCTTTGCAGGACTATTTTGAGGATCACACAAAAGGAGAAAGATCTTTGCACACCATAAAACACTGAGCAAACATGATAGTTCTTTATGTGGCAGGTATCTCCTTAGACAGACTTTGGTCTCCCTCTCACCACACACACACAATCACAAGATCGCGCTCTGTGCTGAGACTGTTCCGGGTGTTTCTATGTGCTCCCCCTCTGCTGAAGTGGGTAGAGGGCTCGGAAGATGGGAAAGAGTTGACGGGAGACACTTAGCGTGGGATGAGGCAATCCATAGTTCAAGTCCAAGGTTCTGTTTCTGTTTGTGGGCCCCTGGGCCAATCCTTACGCTCTTGGAGCCTCCGTTTCCTCATCATGAATGCAGAGAGATGGTCTGCCTCATAGATTTGTGAGGAGAAATAAAGGAGAAAGAGTAGCAAGGGCATCTCATTAATATGTATTTGAATATTAATCTGAAAACAGATTCTAAGAAATTTTAGTAAAGGGCATTGCTTTTTTCCCCTCTCTAAACACCATAGCCTAGCCCATATTGTTTATTCAATAAACATTTATGGAGCACCTGCTGTGTGCTGGGCCGCCTGCCAGCCTCACTTTTAATGGGTGTAATAAAAGAAAGGGGAATAGATTATTGCTCTGGAGTGAAGGCTCTCTCTGCTAGGTGTAGTATTTATTAGTTTAATAGCATACTAGGTCGCTAATTTTTAATTTAATCTTTTACAAACTACTGGAAACACCCTATTTCTAAAAATGACCCAGCAGAAGGATGTGAGTTGTTGAATCAAAATGAGGGAAATCTCCTCTACGCTTAGGAGTTTCCCCGAAAATGTCTGATAGGGAAACAAAAGCGCAGAGCTGGAGGGATGTCTAGAAGGGAAGCTGAGTGCCGGGGTTGATGGGATTGGAGATCTTCCCGTGTCCATCTGTTACTACCTCGCAGTTCTCCGCAAAAGGCTTCACCCATAGTAGACACTTGGTCGTGTTTGTAGGGAACTTACCCCAGAAGCTGTGAATTTAGAACGAGTAGGAGTGGAGGAAGGCAGGGAGCCCCTGAGCCACATGCTATGTTTGAGGAAGCACTTATGAAACCAAGTCCTGCCTGTGCCAACCCCATTCAAGGTGTTCTGTGTTACCTAATTTAATTCTTCCAATAACCCGATGAGGTATCAATTCCATTATTATCACCATTTACGTTTGGTGATCATGTGAAAACTGAAAGAAATTAAGTCACCTTGCCCAAAGCCACCGCCCTTCCCCGCCCCCCCCCCCTCCACCCCGCCCGCCCCGGCCCACACACACACACCCTTCCGGAAAGCAGCTGGTCTATTTGACTCCAAAGCCAGGATTTCCCTACTGCATGCTGCTGTATCTCTTAGGAAAGTAATTTCTCTTCCGTGGATCTGCTTCCTCATCCCAAACTTAAAGGAGTGAAGTGAGATGTCCCTCGGTCTCTTTCACATCTATTTCTACCTACATGGGTGCTTTATCCAACTGTTGACAAACTGGGGCCCATGGGTCAAATCCAGCCAGTCCATTGTTTTTTTATTAATCTTTATTGTTGAAAGTATTACATATGTCTCCTTTATCCCCCCATTGTCCCCTTCCAGTCCACACCAGCTCCCTGCCCCAGGCCCTTACCACCCCACTGTCTGGGTTCATGGATTATGCATATATGCATACAAAGTCTTCAGCCCATTGTTTTTATAGAGTTTTATTGAAATACAGCCACACATATTCATGTATGTATTATCTATAACAGCAGAGTTAAGTACTTGTGCAAAAGACTGTATGGTACACAAAACCTAAAATATGTTACTATCTGGCACTTCATAGAAAAGGTTTGTCAACCCCTGGAATATATCGGTCTATAGGTTTTAATGGTGATAGATTATATATGGTAAATGGAAAAGAAGCTGGAGGGTCACATGTCAACAGTAAACAGTTGGGATAGAGTAAGAAGGTGACTTCCATCCACTCTTTACATTTTACACTTTGGAATTATTGCTTTAACTTACTCTTTACTAAGTTATAGCTTATAGCAACCTGCACAAACCCTAAATGTATACCCTTTTGTGTTTAGGGAAGGTATTCCACAACTTCCTTGCTGACAACTCGGAAAACTGAGAAGTACAAATAAGGAAACAAAAATTACCTTTATGGCATCATCCAGAAATAACCACTCAGCCTTTACATTGACAGCTCCTTAAAATGTCCTATGTCTTATTTTCCCATCTTTAAAACGGGGCTGCTCTATCAGTCCATCGCCACCTTATCCTATGTGAAGCATAAACAAAGAGTATTTCCACTGTACTCTTATTTCTTCTGTTTGGGGGAAGTTTAACCAAAGGATTTCATGAGATAGTTCATTTAGCCAGCATTTTTTGACTCACATCCTGTAGGACTATCTGCTGGGATGGTTATGCTTTTCTTTTAAAATTTCCATATGAAGGAGTAGGTATTGGATCTGTTCACAGACCTGTAGTTGCAGTTACTTTGTGAGCGCTCATCTCGCACTAGGTGGCATACACAAGGTCCATCTGGGCAGGGGGTTCCCGGAAATTGCTGGGTAGAAATACGTCACCTGCAAGACTATCTGGACACTCATAGGAAGTTTCCCCTTTACTTCGTGAAACTTCCTGTATGTCCACATAGTTTGCTTGGGGTAGGGGGGAAGAACGGGTTTGCCGCCACCTGGATTTTGAGAGAGAAAGGAGAGTCAGACTGGGCACAGAGCAGTTGGAACTACAATTCCAAGTTCTGTGGTTAAAAGGGACGTGATGGCTGGTTTTTTAATGGGTCTTTCCAGCTCAACACAGAAACTGATCTTCATCACACTTGACTGCTCCCATCATGATAGCAAGTGGGAGAACAGAGACAAAGAGCCGTTCTCCAGGGACATTTACTCTCAACACTTCATTATCTTGGCTGAGGGGAGCTGGGTAGGCAGAGAATGTTCTCCCAGTGGGCCGAATGGTGAGGGGCCAGGACCTCCCATACGTCACAACAAACCAAAGACAATAAGGTGAAATGAAGGAACCTCATTTCCATGAACTTATTACCTACCCCTTTCTCGGGGAGAGTCTGAGATAGTGCAAACTTCCCCCAGGGCTCCATGCGCACAACCCCTCCCCGCCACCCCTTCTTTTCGGCTCCTAGCACATGCGTAGCAGATTCCGTACTGAAAAGCGACAGCCCTAGTTCCTTAGCAGCCTGACTTGGATCAGTGACGCTGGAAGGATCGGCCTTCCTACACCTAGATTTGACTCTGAATTTAGCAGATTGAGAGCCTTCCTCCCCCACATTGAAATTCTTCTCTTCCTGAAACTAACCCCAACTTCCTCCTAATTACCTGTTAAAAGTGGGGAAGGTAGAGGAGAATTTGCTTAGAAGCAGCTCTGCTAACTCCCTGAGGGGTCTGAATTTTTGTTCCTCATCTCTTAGTCCCTCCAACCCGAGCGCCGGATCTGCTGGACTTGGAGAACCCTGAGCCTGCAGAGATTTTACTACTGGGAACTGGCTTCCTGCCTCCCCAGACTGCCAAGTATTATCAGACCCCAGGGGTTTTCCAGGGAGTCCCCTTCAATGCACACAAGCCCCCACCCCTGCACTGCAGGGATCCGTATTTTACAGATGAAATTGAGGCTTAGAGAGCGGAAAGGGATGTTCTCTGCCCCAGAAACTATGGGTCTGTGATGAGTCGACCCTAAAAAAAAAAAAAAAAAAAAAAAGCTCGTTCCCCCCTCTTTCTCCTGCGCTGTCTTCATGGGCGCCCGTGGGCGTCCTTCCTGCCCTGCCCACGCCCCAGGGAGATGAAGGTGAAGTTTCTATGGTGCCGAAAGATTCCCGGCCTCCTTCCTGGCCCAGACCGGGGTGGGAAAAACGAAACGAAACGAAACGAAACAAAACGAATTTCCCTCTTGGACGCCTTCTCAACGTGTGCGGTCTCCCTGCGTCTGCAGAGTGCGGCCTAGACCAGGAGCCGCTCGTGTCCCGCAGCTGTGAATAAACCAGAAGGCAGTGGGTCACGGTGGGACGCGCGGCCGCCCACTGTCCACCACTGCATGCAGGCCGCGCCTTGCTTTCACTGCTAGAAAGGAGGTCCCCCCTCAATCCTAATTTTACCCCGAAAGCGGAGGCGCTTTGATATTCTGGGTTTAAACTGCAGCGCGAGGCCCAAGCGTCCAGCTCCCCGCACAGCTGGGCCAGGCCTGGCGCTGGGGCGGCCCGGGTGCTGGGTGCTGGGGCAAGAGCTTTGGCTACTATCCCCGGCCATACAGTAGCCTGCGCCTCCTTCCCGCTCGCCTACGCTCAGAGGCGACATTTCTGCAAATCTCACCGCCGAGCTGAGCCGGCTAGAGGGGGGCGGGGGGACGGCAGAGCGCAACTAAACGAGGTCGCTGCGCTCATGCCCCCACCCGGCCCTCCACCTGCGTTGGTTCGGACGCCTCGGAGGGACTCTCCTCTCCCCTCCTCCTCCATCTCCTAGACCTAGCTCCAAGAACACCCCAAGGTCCTCCAGCTCTCACCTGGGCCCCCGAGGCGCAGTTTCTTCTCTCCAGACTAGAGCCGGCCCTGCGGCCGGTGGGAAAGCCCGGAGCCTTCCACGCCGGGCCGCACACTCCTTGCTTCCCAAGTCCAAAGGTCGCCTAAAGTTTGGCTGATAAACAGAACCAGTACAAGAAGGCCCTCGGCCCCCCAGCGGGAGCACAATGGGCCCGGCCAGCCCCGCTCCCGCCCGGGTCCCCGGCTCCCCACGTCTGCCCCTCGGGCTCTCGCGCTCTCGGTTTTCCCCCTCCCCACCGTCATTTGCATCTTGCCGAAAGCCGGCCTCCCCGCTGATTTGCATATCTTATATGGCCTAATGGTGGTGATCATGGCCAGTTAGAAGTTTTCTGACTTCTCGGAGGAGACTCCGGGACCCCGAGGAGTAACAGGTGTCTGGAGGCTGAAGGGTGGGGGGCTTCCTGGACTTGGGGTTCGTTTGTGAAACTCCCCACCACCCTCTTCTCTCGCACCTACATCCCCCCCTTCCTTTTCTGTCCTTGGAAAATGGTGTCCAAGCTCACGTCGCTGCAGCAAGAACTCCTGAGCGCCCTGCTGAGCTCCGGCGTCACCAAGGAGGTGCTGGTCCAGGCCTTGGAGGAACTGCTGCCCTCCCCGAGCTTCGGGGTGAAGCTGGAGACCCTGCCCTTGTCCCCCGGGAGCGGGGCCGAACCCGACACCAAGCCGGTCTTCCATACTTTAACGAACGGCCACGCCAAGGGCCGCCTGTCCGGGGACGAGGGCTCCGAGGACGGGGACGACTATGACACCCCTCCCATCCTCAAGGAGCTGCAAGCGCTCAACACCGAGGAGGCGGTGGAGCAGCGGGCGGAGGTGGACCGGATGCTCAGGTAGGTGCGGACCAGGTGGGGAGAATGCGCCCGAGCCCTGGCGTCTGAGCCGCCCTGCGCCCGACCACCCGCGCGCTGCCTACTTCCCACCAGAGAAGTCCCCGGGGCTGCTCGGCTTCTCTACCCAACACCTGGACCCCTCCCAGCCTCTCCCCCGGCCGGCCCGGAGCCTGGGGCTTCCCATCGCCCGGCTCGGGCCAGTGTCCAGGGCGAGGGGCCCTCCGGGCAGAGCTGGAGCTGGGCCTGTGGGAACCCAGCGGCGGAGCCCTCAGCCTAAGGGTTGCCCGCGCAACCGAAGGTGCGAGTGGGTGCAGTGACAGCCGCGGTTCCCCAGGAGCAGCGGCTCGGACCCCACGAGTCGCAGGCCACGCATTTCTCCTGGCCGCCTCCTCTCGGTCCAGGAAAACGCAGGCCGGCCTGCGGCACAGTGCCCCGCAGCACTTCGCAGAGGGACCGGCTGCACCCGGGCCAGGATCTGGGGGGCGAGTTCTCCCATTTGCACTCCCACTCCCATCGGCAGCGCCCTTGCTAGGCCCCAGGGTGATCCGGAATCCCCCAAACAGGTGTAGATTTGCACGGAAAAGGTTTGTCTTGTTGTAGGGCCAGGGGGGACCCGCACTGGGCAAAGGAGAGTGCACGTATTTAAGCAAAGGAGCGAGAGGCAAGTGCGGCCCAAACCCCAGGTCGCAGCGGACCTGGTCGCAACCCGAGAAAGGAGGGCGTTTCTGGATCTCGCCGGTGACATCCCGGCGTCCCCGGGGCACTCGGGCGGCTGGCCGGCGGTCCGTCTCCCTGTTCGGGGTCGTTTGCTGGGCCTCGTAGACCGGCTTGAGGCGTTGACAGCTGGTGACTAATTATTGAAGGGGCCGAGCAGTTCCCTTAGAGTGCGCGTCCCTCCGGCCACTTGGCTCCAGCACCGAGCCCCTCGCGTGGCCTCGGACTCCTCAGCGCCGCGGTTTCCAGGCAGGGCCGGGGCCAAAGTCCCGTCCTGGGCTCAGGCAGCCTCGGTCGCACGCCCGCAGCGGCAGTTTGGGGTGGGAGGTGACCTTGCATTTGAATTTGCTACCTGGGGACCCGGCGGTTTACTCTCCAGCCAAAACAATCAGGGGGACGTCTAGATTTTTCTTCCAAAAGAACTTTGCTACAAGGCAGGGGTTTGAGGTTCTCCCCTTGTTTTCCCCCGGTGCAGAGGCGGTTTCTCTCCCGCCTCCGAGGGCTCGGGTGCAGGAAGGTGAGACGGGTCGGAAGGAGTGACTGGGGCGCCTGGGCGGCCTGGAGGTGCACCAGGGCCTGGCGGGTTGATGGAGCTCCCGCCGCCTGCCAGCCGGGCCTGCGGGGCCTGGGCCTATCCGCCCGGCCACAGACTCCCACCTTCTAGCCGGGCTCTGGGCAAATCTGGGGAGTCCGGGGCGACCCGGGGAGCCCCTCCGCACCCAGCCCGACGCGGGGCTGGACGCAGCACAGAGGTAACATAAACGGCAGCACGTGGAGTTAGGGCGTTATTAATTTATTTCTATAAATCATCAACAGAAAGATACACAAAGAGTCGCGATTAGGTTGAAAAGAGAGGCGGGTTATTCATTGGTGAAGTTGTAAACGCGGCTGAGAGAGGGAAGGAAATCCAAACGCGGGCGCGGGGCTGCTGGCCGCGGCCGGCGCGCACGGGCACGCACGGCGCTGCGGGGCGCTCAGGCCAAGCCCCCGCGCGGCCGACGCCTGCGCCGCCCTCCGCCGTCCGCCGAGCCCCGGCTCCCGCGGGTGGGGGGCGAGCCTGGGGGGCCTAAGACCCTCGCCGGAACGCAGACCCAGGACAGACCCCAGGTTTCTCTCCCCGCCCCAAGCTGCGCTGCCTTCCCTCCCCCAGCTCGGGAGTTGTCGGACTTGATTAAAGTAATTTTTCAAGAACTTGCTAACGGTTCCCATGGCACTTGCACAGTCGGTTCTGAGCACCAGGCACAAGCACTCCCCTTTTGGCTCACGCCGTTCCCGTAAGGCGGGAAGAAAAGAACAGGAAAAGTCACTTTTTGGAGCTCCTGCACGCACCGCACCGGATACCTTCTGGACGAGAGAGGCGAGAAAGGAAGGGTCGGGGATCGTGCCGCCGGCGCCCCGGCGTCGGGAAAGTTGGCCACTTGCTGAGGAGCCGGAGCGAGGCGGTGCGGGCCCGGGGCGTCGCCGCTCGCGGCCGGGCGGGTATTGTTTGGAGAGGAGCGCGCCGGGCGGCTGTGCCCGCGCCCCGGGCGGGCGGGCGTTTGACACCTGCGCCGCGAGCACAATGGCCGCGCGCGCTTCTCCGGAGCCGTGGACTTACCGGGCGCAGGAACCCGGAATATTTCCAAATGTTAAAAAAGGAACCAGTTCTCTGAGCTCTTCCCAGTGAATATCTGTAAATCCCGGGGGCAGAAAGCTGTAAAGGTGTAACTACGCCATCTTACCCCCGACTCTAGTCCTTGAGTGCGGCTTACAGGTTTGCTGCAGTTCATGGGGTTTTCGTGGGCTTTTGTTTTTTTAAACCTTCCCAGTTGTTGAGCTCATTCACTCTTTCCACAGAACCTTTAGATCTTAGAACATTACACTGTTTCACTAGGTTTCTTAGACACAAAAAGTTAACACAGGTAAAGAAATTTAAGCAAAACAACAATAACCAAAGAATCTGTTAAAGCGATATTAACGGAAGCAGATGCTTTTTCTAACTTTAGCCATTATTATTCCTATCTGCTGAAAGTGTTTTTCTACCCTAAAAATATCTGTGGAAATACTCACCAGAAATAAGCTTTAAAATTATCTCTGATACACGTATGTCCAAAATGTTACATTCTTTTTCTCGTACTGGAGGTGAATTCTCCATGTTTGAAACTGTACTTGCATTTTCTCATTTCTTTTTGTCCTTGTTGTTGCTTTATTATATTGTATTAGTTGGAAGCAACCTTTTTAATCCTTGAGAAAGTCATTAACTTGTATTTAATCTTAAAAGCTTGCATTTCTCAAAAACATCTGTTCTCGCGAATTTAATATCAAAGAACTGCTAAAATAACCTGTTGTTCGAATGCTTACAAACTATACCAATTTAATTACTAGATTTTAATTCATTAAACAAAATTTATTTTATTTGACATATTATAGGCACCATTTAGAAACAAATTGGTTATTTAATCTGCAACACCATATCTGCTTTGATCTCTACACCGTTTTTTATTGTTTTATCTGAAACTAATTTTTCCCTTCATTTTTTTTCATGTTCTATCAGGCTACTATATATATCAACATACAGTAAAGGGATGTTGATTTTTTAAAGTTAAATATGTAGCTGCATTAAATAGTGTATGTGGATATATTGCTTCTTTAACACTTTTTTCTATACTGTACATTATTTAATTGTTTGTTTTAAATGCTATCTCAGTTTTAAGTCACCTATTCAACAAGCAAGAAAAGATATTGACAAAATTGAAACTATTTTGAATAAATAAAATTCAAAGGCATCAACTCATTATTTTAAAGAAGCCTTTTGTACCCCATTTCTCACTGTTTATGAGAAATGAAAAATATAAGCAAGTTCTTATATTTTGAAGCTTGAAATTTAGGAGAAAATTTGCCTTTCAGATATTCTTACCCTGTTAGGGCAGAAAGGTAGGAATACAGGAAAACAAGGCATTGGGGATAGGTAATACCTTATTCAGAAATGAAAATTATTTATTTGTCCCCATTAGGTTTTATTTGGGAGGTGTGGCTGTGGTGAAATTTATTTTTTAACTTTACCTGTTTGCCTCAATGGAGTGATTTTTCAGTCCCAGGGAGAACCTTATTTTACTTCTTAACACTTTTCAAAAAATTGGAATACCATTTACTATCTGGCTAAGAGGTCCTCCTTGCATCTCAGGAGGTGGACATATATGTTTTACTCCTATTTTATAAGACAAGAAACTGAGACACCCATTCAGAAGGAAAATAATGTGGGAGAGGTCTAGGTAAATTGAGAAACTGATGCTACCCCCTATCCTGGTAGGATCGGTCTGCCCAGCCCAAGCCAGTGGCATGTCCACTTTCTAATGGGGCTCCTGTCTTTTAAGTCTCTCACATTCCAGGCAAATGAAGGAAACCAAAATAAAATAGGATCTTTTCTTTCTGCCTAACGAGTGCTGGTCACTGGCCGTGCTTCCCCATTCCTGAAGACAAGAAGTCATCTTCATCTTCCCCCTCCTAATCGAAGATGAAAGGGATGGAGGGCACTGTATAGGAGCTCTCCTATAGTACAATATAGGTTCTATTTTGGCCTCACCTCTTTCCCAAGGATGTAGCTTGGACAGGTGAAGAAATAGGTGAAGATCAGGGTATTGCACAGAGTTTAGGTAAAACCCATAGAAAGAGAGTATTTCTCCCCAGACATCTTCCACCAGCACCCTAACCATTTGTTTATCTGTCTAGTGAGGACCCCTGGAGGGCTGCCAAGATGATCAAGGGCTACATGCAGCAACACAACATCCCCCAGAGGGAGGTGGTCGATGTCACGGGTCTGAACCAGTCACACCTCTCACAGCATCTCAACAAGGGCACTCCTATGAAGACCCAGAAGCGCGCCGCCCTGTACACCTGGTACGTCCGAAAGCAGCGGGAGATCCTCCGACGTAAGTGCTTTAATTCGGCTTCTGCCTCAACCTGGAGTGACCTTTGCCCTAACTCTGACCCCTGTGGGATACCTCAGTTTTCACCTCATCAAGAAAGCCTTCATAGCACTTGCTACATATATGAAGCTAGCAGGTGGATTTGGCCGTCCTCGTTGCTGTTTGATGGATTAGCCTATGCTATGGCATTTTCTTCTTCTATGGTTCCTTTACTAACCAGCCAGGTGTTTTGACAAGTCCTTCAGTGTGTGCAATTTACCTTGAAATTTTTGGCCCCTGCTTCCAACATCTTTCTCTTTGAAACCAAGAGGGCAACAGAGGAATATTATCCTCAAAGTAAGCAAAGCACCTCCCCTTGACACAGATTAAAGTTCCCAAGGAAGACATTTCATAATCAATCAATCATATTGATCACTTATTGTTATTTCTCTCCCCTCTGGAAAAATATTTTTTAAAATAGAGAATATTTATATATACATACATTCAGAATCTGATCATGTTTTTTTGTTGTTGTTGTTTTTTTGTTTTGGTGGGTGTGAGGGTAGTTACTGAGTTCTGAAGCAATTTAAGGTGCTACTCACATTTACTAAAATTGGTCGTTTGGGGACCTCAGCTTGTGAGCCTGTCTAATGAAGAAGCTGCTTCTCACTAAGGCAGGACTCAGTAGAAGTATCTGCCTTTGGAACTCTGACCAATCAATTCTTGTCATTCTCATTCCCAAATGTCCTCTCTGTCCCAAGATTTCTTTCACACAATAATACTGAGAGATTTTTGTTCTGAAGTCTAAGGAAGTTTGAACTTCATTTGAATGGCCCGAGTATGAATAACATACTGTTTTTATTTTAGGAAAAGTATACTTTTACATTATACTTTATTTTTTAAAATATATTTTTATTGATTTTTAGAGAGAGAGAAACATCAATGTGGAAAACATTAATTGGCTGCCTCCCACACGACCATGTATTGAGCCCCCAACCTGGGCATGTGCCCTGACCAGGAATCAAACCAGTGATGTTTCAGTGCATGGGACAGTGCTCAACCAACTTAGCCACACTGGCCAAAGCAATACTTTAATTATTTTGATCTTACCCTTTTCCTAGGAAAATTTTGTATGAGTTTTCAGTCTTCCCTACACTGTCCCCTGGGCTGTGAGTTTCTCTGTCTTTGTCAAGATATTAGTTTCCATCACTTTCTGGGTTAGTTTTATCCCCCTCTAGCTGGACGGCCACTTGTAAAAATCATTCTTGTTTTCTGTCATACACTGCTCCAGAGTGATTGGTTCAGTATTTATTGTCTCAGTGTCTGGGGGCAGGAAAGGCCTTCATGATGGAAGGACAGGTTTTTTAGACATTCATCTTATATTGTGGTCATTTGCTCTTCTGTTGGAAGCATTAAATGGATAGATTAGAAGCAGTAAAGTGAGAGCTCCTTGCTGTGTCGGGGAAGGGGCTCTGGGTTGATCCATCATCCGTGGTGACTAGTTTGGGAAAATTTTGGGTTTCTGACCTGAAGCAACTCTGTAATTCCTGAAAGTCCATTATCAGGAGCCAGGCCCCATGCAATATCTTTAGCTTGAGCTGCCTCCCTGTGTTCAATGGGAGTTCCCTCAGAAAGAGGCCAACTGGGAGCTTCTAAAAAGACAAGAAGTCCTAGAAATTTCTCAGGATCCTTGAGAAGCGACGTTTTACAAAAATGTATGATAGTGGTGCAAGGGAGTTTTTAAATTGTTGTTGTTCAAAGTCAAATGAGACATGAAGCTTAAGAGCTTCAGAAACATTTCTTTATTCTGAAAATATTATATGAGCTCCTGTTAGATGCCAAGCACTGTGCTGGGCTGTGGGATACACAGGGCCTTTTCTCCAGAGACTTACAACCTAATGAAGGGATGAAATGTTTGAATAAATAATGACAACTGCTTTCTAAAGGCTGTTATAAAGGTATTACAAGGGACATCAGAGGAATTACTAAACTGGCTGGAGACATCATGGAGGGCTTTCTGGAGGAGGTGACATTTGAACCAAAGTCTGACGGATAAAAATTAGGAAGTGAGATAAATAAAAGTGGGACAGTGTGAATGGCGTGGGAGGAAGTAAAGGAGGTAGGATAACTTTAAAAAGCTATAACTTGATTACAAATTTTCTTGAAAACCAAAAATAATAAATGGTAATATTCATGGGCCCTTCTATGCATGTAGAATCTCCTTGTCCAAGCTGGCCTCTGAGCCTATAAAGAATTTACTGCACCCAACTTCTTCAAATTTATTTCTATTAGCAGTGAACATTTTCTTTCCTTTCTTATTGCCTCATGGTGCCCGTCCCCCCTCCCCCCATTAATCTGGAAAGAAGTGGAGAGTTGGTGGTGGCTGGAGAACCTAGGAGAATCTCGTTCTTCAAAAATTGAGAGAGGTTAGGGCCAAGGCTCTGACAGAGCCTGGATGTTATTGAGCACCTACAGGCAAGTCAGCCTGGCTGAACCTGAGTTCTGAGCACCATGCGGGCTGCTGCCTTCTCAGAGGGCAGCTGACAGGCAGTCCCCACACCAACGGTGGTTGTGAATGTGTTTCACACCCACCACAGACAAAACCCCAGGATTCAGTTTTGTTACCTCCACCTGAGTCAGATTTGGAGGTTTTGTAGGTGTATTATTTGTGTTTTGTTTTTAGTGAGAAGTGATGCAAAGGCTGCTGGTTACGAGCCTTCGGGGCTACAGGTTGAGTTCACATCCTGGCTTCTGCCCCACATCCATGTGACTTTGGGCAGGTCATTTAATCAGCCTGAGCCTCGCTTTCTTCATCTATAAAATTGAGGTATCAATACTTGTTGCATGGAGAGGTTGTGAGAATTAGATGAAGGGACACATTTAGAGAACTTGGCTCAACACCATAGAAAGTGTTCAATAAATGTTAACTGTTATTACATCCATTCAAATCAAGTGAAGAACCTCAAGTTGACCTGGGTCCTTAGGCTTAGCCTTACTGGCTTGGGCTGCTATTCATGGTGATTCCACAGGGCCACAGAGAGGAGAGGGGACACTGAGGCAGACCCCCACTGAGCAGAGACCTTCTCTCTGCTCCTCTGACGAAATCGTCCCTAAAGTGACTGTATTTAGATTGCTGCTGTGAAGACCAAATGACATAGGAAGTGTGAAAGCACTTTGAAAAGTATAGCTTCCATAGGAATTGGGGTCATCATCATCATCCTGACTAGGGGTACATGTTCTAAGACAGTGGTTCTCAGCCTTCTAGCCCTTTAAATACAGTTCCTCATGTTGTGACCCAACCATAAAATTATTTTCGTTGCTACTTCATAACTGTAATGTTGCTACTGTTATGAATTGTAACGTAAATACCTGATATACAGGATGGTCTTAGGCGACCCCTGTGAAAGGAGTCGCCAAAGGAGTCGTTACCCACAGGTTGAGAACCGCTGTTCTAAGATATTTAGAGCCCCTTAGGTTTTCACCTAGTCCCATTCCACAGATGGGGAAGCTGAGGGACCAGGGACTTAAGTAACTTGGCTGGGGCTGGTTCTACATTGACCCATTGAGTCAGTGACTTCCTGCCAGCAACTTGGGCAGAAACTCTTCTAGGTATCTCAAGGAATTGTTGGGGACCAGTGAAAACAGAGCCCGAAATGGCCTGAGAATCGTCAAAAGTGGGTGGGAACCAAATAAAAGGCCCCAGTGACGCGTTCAGTCCATCAACCTGGGAGACTGCTCATTGACTTGGCCAGTCAGCAGTTAGTTAAGCAGAGCCCAATACCACCTGCAGCTGGGGTCCTGAATCCAGGGGCATTCGGGGCCCACTGCTCCTTGTGATGCACCAAAGTGGAAATTAATCCCTAGATTGGTGTGGTTAAGTTCCCCCTTGCTGGAGGTGTATAGATGGAGGACCACTTGGTAGGGTGTGGTAGAAGGGATGCAAGCATTAAGTAGTGGCCTGACTTTGAACCTTGAGGATTTTGGATCTAGTTGTCTCTGAGAGCCATGGGTGTGACTTCAGGAACCAAGAGAGAAAAACATCAAGGTCCAGAACATGGGGACCAGGAGTTAGGAAATGAATCTGTTACGTGTCCTAGCTCAGCAGAGTGCTTGGCCTCTATGCTTATTCATCTGTAAAATGGAATCAGTCACCCCGATGAGCACTGCTTCATGCAGATGTAAGGAAGAGAACAACAAGCTCTCTCCTTCCATAAGTAAATATCAGATCTCACTTAAACCACAAGGCTAGGGTATCACCACTGAGCAAGCTGCCATCTTTCTTTCATTCTTTCAACCAAAATGTGTTGAGGGTCAGGATATGCCTGAATCCTGGGACCTAGACAGACAGGGAGCATCATTCCATCTGCATTTCTCTTTCTCCAACTCATTAATGCTGTTCCTAGAAGAGTCCTGTGTTTGTTGTCTTCTGCATTTGCCATCTTTCAAATGTGGATGGGTCTGTAAGACCTTTCCCTCATAAATAGACCCCTAGGTATACACCCCCGCCCCCCCCCCCCGACACCCCATTGCCTTTGAAGTGATCTGATTCTTAAAGAACTTTTCTCTTTCCAACACGAAGCTTTGGTTATGTTTATTTTGAAGCTGTGGTCAAAAGTTTGAGGTTTGAGGTTTTCCTAAGAGCATAATATCATAATGTAGATGCCTAGGGCATATGAGGAGAGAGGAGTGGTGGGGAGAGCTGTTTGTCTAACTGCAAATTGTACTTTGAGCAGTTTCTCCCTAGACCTGAGACTTGGTTGAGTTCATCCCCTTGACATCAAGATACAAGAGTTCAGGATACAGAGGGTTGCTTCATGTCTGAGGCCAGTGAACCAATGGGGAAAAGTAATAATAAATTGCTCTTATAAAGCAATGCTTGACCACCTTTGAGCTCCTTCAAAGAAAGGAAAGGGGTGGCTTTGGTGGCGTGAACTGAGGTGGGCCATGAGGGGCCTATCTGGAGCTTCCCTTTTGTATCCTCGCATACAATAACGGCAGGCCGCGAAGCTCAGGGGAGAGGAATAAGAATGTTTTTGTTCGTCTGTCTGTCTGCCAAGTGAAGGCTGTAGACCCTATCAAATCTACTCCTTTCTCTTTTTTCAGAATTCAACCAGACAGTCCAGAGTTCTGGAAATATCACAGACAAAAGCAGTCAGGATCAGCTGCTGTTTCTCTTTCCAGAGTTCAGCCAACAGAGCCAGGGGCCTGGGCAGTCCGATGATGCCTGCTCTGAGCCCCCCAACAAGAAGATGCGTCGCAACCGGTTCAAGTGGGGGCCCGCATCCCAGCAAATCTTGTACCAGGCCTACGATCGGCAAAAGAACCCCAGCAAGGAAGAGAGGGAGGCCTTAGTGGAGGAGTGCAACAGGTAACACCACCGGAAGCTCCCTCGAGCCGGCGGGCAAACACACGGACCTGAGATCCATTCCCTGGGTCCTGGGACATTGAGACACTGGTTGCCCAGACACATGTGGCTCAACTAGGGTCTCCCAAAGCACGTTCCACGGAATTTCGAGTCCCTAAATAAATAAATTAGAGGAATAGCATATGCATACTTCTTCGTAGGGAGTCATAAAGGTCCTTTAGTCGAGAAACCCACTTAGCTTTGTTGAATTGGTTGTGAACCATGGAATCTTTTCTCCTGGGGACCCCCTTTGTGAACTGTTATTCCAGGGAGGATAGTCTGGAGAGTGCTGGTCTAAAATACGATGCCAGCGAAATGGGACTCGTGTGTCTGACCTTCGTATAGACCAGGGAAAAACTATCCGGGAGTCCCAGACTGACTCTGTCCTCAACCAGTTGTAAATCCATTGGCCCCAAAGGAAACTTGGATCTGTTCAGTGCACTGTACCCATACTGCTTAGAGTTCTTTTTGTATCTTAAAAACTACATATAGTTTTAAAGAAAACTATTAGATATCCTTGAGATATCTTTTTGTTTCTTTCCTGCCTCCCTCCTCCCTGACTCCAACAGTGACTTTGAAAGAGAATTTTTTTAATTGATTTCAGAGAGGAAGGGAGAGGGAGAGATAGATAGAAACATTAATGATGAGAGAATCATCGATTGGCTGCCTCTTGCACGCTCCCACTGGAGATCAGGCCCACAACCCTGACCAGGAATCAAACTGCGGCCTCCTGTTTCATAGGTTGACGCTCAACCTCTGAGCAACACTGGCCAGGCGTCCAACAGTGACTTTTTAAACATTCTGTTCTTGGCTCTGGACTCTCTCTGTCTTTGGCTGGACTGGCTCTGATGGTGGAAGGATGTGGCGAGGGAGGTCAGGCCAGAAAATAGGAAGGCAGAGCGGTCAGCTATGCATGTCACAGAGTCCTCAGGCTGTGCTCTGTCCCCCTGACAGCATCCAGTGATGTCTAAGAATCTCTCTCAAACCTGCTCTTTGGGGGAGACTTCTGTAGTGAAAATAAGGGGTCTGGCTTCCCTGGCACTCGTTTGGGGTGTCCAAACACCAAAAGACCAGAATTCCTTTAGAGTGCTATGAAGGGACTCAGATAGCCAGTGGAGGACTTGGCCTTTGGTAGGGCGGGAAGAGTAGCAATATGAGGAGGGGTCAAGAAACCCACTTAGCTTTGTTGCCTGTCCCCATCTTGCTCTCTTCTCTTCTTTCTGGAGCCTCATCAGAGGCTAAGCCCTGGCTTCCAGGCAACAGAGCTTGTTTGGTACCTGTGTTCAGTCCATTCCAGCCATCTCAGCAGAGAACTACATGGGCAACTTTTTCTCTGGGCAGGTTTTTTTCCCAGGCTTCTGCTCTCTGCTTGGCCTCTTCACACTCCTAACCAAAACCATTGGGGTTATGTGTTTGGGGCCAAGCAGAGCCAGCCGCCCCTAGCCACCCTCGCTCACCATCTCCCCTCTATCCATTCTCAGGGCAGAATGTTTGCAGCGAGGCGTCTCCCCCTCCAAAGCCCACGGCCTGGGCTCCAACCTGGTCACTGAGGTCCGTGTCTACAACTGGTTTGCAAACCGCAGGAAAGAGGAAGCGTTCCGGCAGAAGCTGGCCATGGATGCCTACAGCTCCAACCAGACGCACAGCCTGAACCCCCTGCTCTCCCACGGCTCCCCCCACCACCAGCCCAGTGCCTCTCCTCCCAACAAGCTGTCAGGTAGGCACACCCTGGACCCTACGGCCTCGGCCATCCGATCAGTCTGCTTCTCCCCAGGGTCTCACCTGGCTCAAGATTTTTCAGAGGAAAAAATGCTTTGGGATGGCCCAACAGCCAGCCCTTCCTGTTGCCAGAATATTCTTGTGAAGAGTGTGTGGCTGTGGTCAGGGTTCCTCTGAGTCCTTGGTCAGCCTCCAGAGAGCCCTTTGCCCCATTCTTCTTTGGTCCCTTTCCTCTTCCTCTGTGGCTGATGACTCAGCAGGTCAGTTCCACCATCAGATTGGACCGAGAAGCCTACCTTATTGGTGTGCTAGGTGCAAACCGCAGGCAGAAAGGTTGCCTGTCCATAGCCTGTCAGGGCTCTGTCCAGCTCCAGCAAGAGGAGCCCAGGGACCTCTGGGGAAGGGCCACTCTATGGGAAGCCTCTGCTTGTTGGTTCTGTGTTCTGCCAGAGTCACTTGAAATATTTGCAGTGATGAGTTGGCATAAACCAACTGAGTTCCTACTGTGTGTGTCTGTGTGCCAGGCCCTGGCCTGGGTTAGGATGCCTGTGCTGTGGGGTATGGGCTTGTCAGGATGGAATCCCACATCCTCATTGTGGGAAAGCACCCCTATATGCTGAGTGTTGCATCAGGCATAGGCTGGGGTGAGTATTTCCCCCTGGGGCTTCGTTCCTGCAGGAAAGCGGGCTTCTTGGGATGGGTGCGCTTATTGAGGCTGGTTTGGTGGTTGTATAGACAAAGTGTGTGATGGTCCCCTGCCTGCTCTGGGATAGGACTTGTGAAAGGAGAGCCAGGCACCATTTCTAACCTGGGAGTGGTTCTGAAGCCTTTCCTCCCCTTGCCTGCTGGTTGCCCTTCTGCTGGGAGAGGCTAGAGATCTGGAGCTGACCTAAGTGTTGTGTGTGTGTGTTTTGGGGGGGGGGGGGTTGGGGGGTGCAGGCCCAGAGCAACCAGCTGGGTGGTATCCAAGCATTTGTTCCACACTGTACCCTCCCATAGCATGACCTCTTCAGGGGTCTCTGGGAGCCGGCAACTGTCCAGTGTAAAGCCCAGGCCGGGGCTCAGAGCTTCTCTGGACCCAGATCCCACAGAAGGAAGGGCTCAGCCACATGGGGAGAAAGAGTGGTTACTCTGGAGAGGCAGTGCAGCCCCCAGACCAACACTGGCCTGATTGCAGAGTAACTTAGCCCCTTTATGGGCATTCAAAGCAGGGTTCAGAGGACAGGGCAAATGGCTTGTGGCCGGCACCGAGCAGCACTAGAGCACTTGCTGTCCGCAGTGATCCATGGAGCTGGAGCTGGGAGCTGCGGGGGGCGTGGCTGGGGCAAGGGGCATTATTGAGAAGACAATGGCTATTGTTCTGGGACTTGTGATCTCCACACCAAAGTCAGGGAGCCTGCAAGCCAAACAAAGGCCCAGCAGCTTTCTGACAAGCTGGGGTTGTGGTGAGGTCACCACGGAGTCCTTAGCTTAGGCGTTCTGTGTATTGACGGGAGGCCCCGGGAGCTGGGCTGGAGGGACGGCAGCAGGTCCTGGAGGCTAGGCAGGGCCCAGACACCCCTCTCTCTGGTCAGTCTGAGAAGGTGCATCCTACGGAAGTGGATTTTCGGGGGTCCCCAGAAGTCTTGGCCTTTTAAAAAATCATGGGATGTTAGACCTGGGAGGGACGTTGAAGAAGGAAACTGAGGCTGCTGATTCCCATGCCGTGTTTTCCACAGCACAGGTGTGCTCTGAGCACGTACCAAGTCCCAACACCATGCTAGTGATGAGGAAGCCACATGTCCCTGCCCTTGCGAGCTTATTATCTAGTTGGCAGGCATCACGCCAGGGTGGAGTCCCCCAGAACTAGCTTGGAATTGAGGTCATCTTTGGGGGTTCATGCATCTTTCTAGAGACAGATTGCTATTTGTAGAGCCAGAACCGTGGGATGCTGTTCTCTTGTACAATCTGCCTTTCCCTCTGCCTTAATTTTCACTGCGGGTTGATTAAGCTAGTCCTTGTTCACACTCGGGGACTGGATTCTCTGGACTTGGTTTTAAATCCTGGTTCTAATCAACCAGGTTAATTCCCATAACTACCACGTGGCCAGTTCATGTAACTTCTTTGAGCCTGAGTTTACTGTCTGTAAAATGGAGAGATAGTACCTACCTCCTAGGGTTCTTGTGCAGGTTAAATGAAAAAATGTATAAATACTATCTTTCCCAATAAACCATAACTACTGTCATTGTCATTATCATTACAGACGACTAAACAGTGGGAAAAAATGATAGGCAGCAGAAAGCTATTTCCTTTTAAATTTCACACACTGGGGCCTTATTGCTGAGAAGCAGTGAGATGTGTCCGGGGCCTGGGCTGGTGCCTGGGGTGCAGGAAGTGGGGATCAGTTCCAGTGGCCCCCTCTCAGGCTGCCGGGGCGGGTGGCACATGAGCTGTGACCGGCTCCTCGGGAAAGCACCTGGGGCCAGGCAGACAGCAGGCTGTAGCCCAGTGCTCAGGGAAGGCTTTGGTCCGCAGAGCCCCATGTATTTCCTTCTCATCACAGTCCCCACGACCAAGGTAAGGTCTCTTGGTCTCTAACCAGGTCCAAACTGTAACTGGATGCAGAATACAAACTACTGTGGTGTCTGAGGAGAAACCAGCATCCAGCATCAGCACTAGCAACCTCTAAGGCTGAGCTGTGAAGACAAGGCCCCAGCACACGCCCCCCCCCCCCCCTCCACATCTCCTCCTTCCTTCCCCTCCAAACACCAGCATCTGAGCCAGGAGGACTGGAGGCACCTTAGAGACAAATCTTTCCCTTACAGCCTCTTCCTGGAAAGGAGGGCACCCCTCCGCTAACGGAGCCCCTTCCCTCCCAGCCACGCTTAGCACGTTGTGGCCCACTTGCCCACGATGACCACGGGGTGACCCTGGTCCTGGAATGTCCTGCACAATAGGAGTGGCAGGAGGAGCAGTTTGCCTCTGTCAGCGGCTGATTGGTTACAAGGTGCCCTACAAACACACTGTCAGCAGAATCAGCTGTTTTCAGCGTAGCCCCTCCCGGCTTTACAATCACACATCAGCATGCAGTCCCTGGTTGTCATGGCTTTGTGTCCCTTATGCATGCTTAATTGACAATTAAGTTGGGGCTTTGAACCAGCCTGGCTGCCGCTGATGGGCCTTCATCTTTCCAGGGAGTGTCACAGGGGCACCCTTTGTTTGCTCTTCTTGGGGGCCTGAAGTTACTGTAGCAGGCTGCAGGCGGCCATTTATCTTGAGCCTGGAAAGCCTTTATCTGCACCCCCACCCCCCATTCCAACTCTTGCCAGCAGGAGCTGTCCCTGGTTATAGGCCCCATGACAGCCCATTCTGAGGCCATTGAGCGGGCCCGGAGTGATGGCCCCTACCTCCATTCTGGAGTGGAATCAAGAGAAAGGCCCCCAAAAGGTCAGAGAGCAGGGCTGCGGCAAGGAAAAGGACTGGTTGGAGACTGGTGCTTGTATTGATCGGCTTGAGGAGGAGGAGGAAGTTGGCACGGGATGGAAGCTGGGCTAGCCTTGGACCAAGCCATAGGATCTGGCTGCGTGATCTGTGGTGGCCTTGCTTGCTGTACCCTTTGCTCCAGTCTGCAGCAGACTCACCTGGCCACCTTCAGCAAACTCACCCCACCACCCTCAGCAGACTCACCCCACTGCCTTGCGACAGCAAGGGAGGGGCAGGTCTTCATCAGCCTTCATTCACCCCACACACACTGTCTTCGTTCTTATGTCACCTTTCCAGATGGAGATCAGGGCTCACTCTCCTGGAAAGAAAGGGAGGCACAGGGCTGAGCAGAAGCCCTTCCAGGATAACTTTCAGCTAACGTGGCCCATGCGTCTTCACTAAGAGGACATGTTCATTTTTGCGGCTGCTTACTCCTCCCTCCCTCTGTACTCTATTCCTCTCTCTCCAAGCCCAGTGGGCTTGATTGTCCTGATGGTCAGATCAGAGCTTGAAAACCAGAGCATCCTGCCTCCTCCCCATCTCCTTTCACATCTCCCAACTCATCGGTAGGACTCTAACCCTGGGTCCCAGACAAACCTAACTCTGGGCTAGGATGTCTGTATGGTTGCTATCGTTTTCCTTGATGCCGAAGTCCACAGGACCCAAGGAAATCTCACAAGTGCCCAGTGGCAGGGTTGTAACGAAAGTGCATCATCATAACAGCTAGTGTTGATGGAGTACTTTTTGGGTACCAGGCTCTGGGCTGAGCACCTACATACATGCAGCATCTTCGACAACAACCTTGATGGGTAGAAACCATCTGTATCCTTATCCCCATTTTACAACCAAGGAAGGTAAGATGTTTAGAATCTAAGTGATTTGCCCAAGTTTATATAGTTAGGAAGTGGCAGAGACAGGTTTTGAGTTGTGAGGCCCTGTCCATCTCTCTGCTTTATACAGGTGCTAAGAACTTTTCAGTCATGAAAACCAGCACACACACACACTCCCCACACGGTCCCTTCTCCCACTTTCTCACTGCTCCCCCCTGAATGACAAAGAGGCTTTGGGAGAGCATGGCCAAGGAGGTGGGGTTAGGGTGGGGGTCTCTCAATCTGGCTAGTTTACTGCTACACAGTCTCTCCCCACCCCCCCCCCACAGCTGTTGCCCCTGACCGAGGTGGATCCGTGCCCCGCCCAGGGAAGAAACAAAGCCCTCTCTTTCAGGACCCCATCCCCATCTGGGTGGGGATTTGAACTGCCCTTGCAGTCAGCACTGTCTGGGGCACTAAATGTCTTAACAACTTAATGGGACTTCTTAGACTGCAGGCACCCCAGCTCACCTCTGGAGCCCCACCCCCTCCCTGCGCAGCAGACAAGGGGAGGGGTTTATGAGGGCAGTTGTAAAAATATTCATCTGGGCAACAGACGTCCCCATAGTAAATAAGCCCCTTTGTCCCAAAGTAGCAGATTATTTCAGTTCAGAAGAGACACAAATCATGTCTTGAAACGTCCGTTTGTACTGACTTGGAGTTCAGT